TCATCATCCATAAAAGCAGCACTGGAGTAAAACAAGTACAAAACAATGTCCTTCGAACTACCTTGTAACAAACAAATGAAGCTAAAGGGAATGAAAGAAAGAAATCTTGATAAAGTTAAACTTTTCTGAGAGAAGAAACACATTACGATGAACTGAAGTCTGGTAATGAATATGCAAGAGAACCACAAATTCATATTTATAGCATGTGTGACATGCAGTTGAATTGTTTTGATGTTATCTAAATTTGATTGGATTTGGTACACGTACAACAAAATAAACCTCCCCCCCCCCCCCCCTTCTTCTGCTGATGGTTTCTGATTGTGGTTTGGATTGAGCAACAACAACCTCCCTCAGTTCATCATGGATGATTGTTTTGCTGAAGTAAGATCTTGGCAGCAGAACCAGCATTGTTTTCACGTCTCGTAATCTTCTCCCTAACTCAGCACAATAAAAGAAATGCTACTGTCCTGACCAAAACTGTGGCGCACAAGTCCACAATTACCCGCAAAACTCTACAGGAAACATGCCGTTTAAGTTAGAAATAACAAACTCGACTTAAACGTAGAGTACAGTACAGTTGATCAAGGAGAATCATATGGTGCTAATGTCATCTGTTGTCAATAAAAGTTACAGAATTCATTGTCATAACGCTGCATTTAATCATCAAGAAAAAAATAAAAATAATTTCACCCCATTTTCTCCACCAAAGTGCAAAGGAGGCCTTCAAAGTGCCTGTTCCAACGAAGCAGTGGCTGGAGGAACAGTAAACATTTAGATAGCCAGTCCGCCCACACCAGGCGTATTTGGCCACATGGAGACTTCTGTGTGTGTGTGTGATGTTATATTCTAGTCTTGGGGTTTTGGCCCCTCCTGTTTGATTTGCTTGTTGACAATCATTTATGCAGTGTTTTTTTGTGTAAGCCATGGATCATGAGTGATTCATAGCAGACCCTTTTTACTGAACTCCAGTATGACTAAAGAACTACAGAAACAGAGTTTGATAAGGGCTGAATCCAGATGCCCGCCCTCCAGACCTGTGAACTGGACCCTGCATGGACAGTACATAAGTGCTGACCCTTACCGTATTCTTATCAAGTCTGCTTATGTCTCCATAAAATGCACAGGATGGGACATCAAACCCCAATACATGTCATGGAAATAATGATAATTAATAAGTTCCCCTTTACACATTTGTATTATTTTTTTTAAACTTTTTTACTAAGTAAAGTATTTCAAAATTGTGCTTAGCTACAGTACATGAACAATTGTAAATAGTTACCTTCCACTACTGCAGAGAATGCAATTGAGGCCCCTTGTTAACCTGATGAATTGTGGATGTGGTCAGACCTCAGACTTCACATAAGAGCAGCTATGAGGGGAAAGTCTGTCCATCACAGACAACCTAACAAAGGACTGAATGCTGGCTGTAGAGTATATATACAGAGGCTGATGACAACTGTGGAGCAGGTGTGTAGACAGGTGTGCCTCAGGTGATGAGTTGGGGCAAGAAATACAGCACACTGAGGACAGCTGGTGGTCAGGTGAAGCATAGCAAAGTCTAAAATGACAGGTGAGGTTAGTGCTGCAAGGGTAAACCAGTATTTTTAATCCCATTTGTATTACACAGTATTAAGATGAAATGTTTTTAAACCATAGTTGAATATTAGTTCAACTATCATAGAATACTGTATGGGCCAAAATTAATATGCTCTAGATCAAGTCAACCTCATGGCCTCTCTCAGTGTTAGAGCTCCAATTAGCATCTTTTTATGACAGACTCTTTTTGGGACTGCAGGTCTGATTTTATATGCAGTATTTGAGGAGAATTCAGACAAAGGCTAGAAAAGAAACACATTTAGTTAGAACGTGTTTAAAACATCATTTTGGGTCATTTATTCTGTTTGGGTCTCAATAAACCTCTGAGGAAAGGATCTGGCTCTTTAGTGGTTTAATCGTTCGCAGTGTTTACCAGCTAGTCATTAACTTTGTTTCTCTGCCTTTTGGTGCTGGGAAGTTGGTATACAGTGGGTTTTAGAGCATTTTTGGCTGAAAAACAGGATAGATGAGACTGTAACAAAAAGTAAAGTTGTTCCCCTTAAGGATACTAAAATGCAGAAGGGAAATACAGAGTCTACAAGTGACACCTTTCACATTTCACAGAGTGATTTCATCTGTTGTCAATACAAAAATATTGTTAGCAGATTTTGCTGCAACAAAATTGTAAAATAAAACATGATTCAATCAAAACTTTAGGTTGATCCATGCTGGTATACCCCACCTACAGGGAAGACTTCTGCAAACAACGGGGGATGGTCATTCATCTCAGTGTGTTTCATTTTAACCCAAGCCAATGTAGACAATGCAACATCTGCTTTGTCAAAGGAAAAGGAACCTGTGGGACCAGCTGGGAGAATCCTCTCTTTCCCAGTGGAGTGGCAGTTCTGCTGGTTGCCAAACACACAGTGAGTTAACCAACACTTAAGTCAGCAGCATCTCCCCGAATTAGAAAACAAAACAAAACTCCAAAATTGCTGAAGCAGCAGAATGTCACACATGGGATCAGAAACAGATGTGTTGCCTCTGCGGAGCCTGACAGAGCGACTCCCTGACAGCACAGTGACACTCGAGCCAGGGGTCTCATGATGACGATGTTGTCTGTTTAGCATCCATCATACACTTCTATAAATGTTCTCAAGCTGGTGGCAACCAGAGCCTTGCTTAATCCCAGCCCCTTGATGCTGGAGTAAAAACCGCAGCGTTTCAGATTCTTAGAGGAAGGAAGGCGCTTTTCCAAAGATGGGACAGCCATCGTCTTCCTCATGCACGCACACACATCTATCTTTCTCTTTCATTTCCCAACAGCTCCATCTCGGTGAAGCTTTCATGTGTGTTGAAAGGCATCGGCTGGCTGCAGTACACACAGCATTTTAGAACATTTAACGAAGGCGAGCCTTGCAGCTTTGATGCAGATGTGAAATGGAGAGTGCCACTAAGATCGGGTGATAATTTGTGGAGCGTTAATGTTGTTTCACATGTAAGCCCTCAGAGGATGAACCGGGGATTTGTCCATCAAGCCTTGTAGACCCATATGTAGACTGGTAGGAGCTGAGGATGTGGGTATCTACTGTACAGGAGCAAGAGATGTGAATACTGTAACCACAACATCTAAAAAAGTGACGTAGGCCATAAAATCATTGTTTTTGGGCCATATTCCTTTTTGTCTTTTTTTTTTTTTTTTTTTACAGCTAACCTTTAAGAGGTGACAGAAATTAAGGACCTCTTGCCTTTTAAAAAGCTCCCAGTTTTATGGCATATCAAACTTTTTGAGATTTTTTTCAAGGTTTAGATGAAGTTCACTCTCACTGCCTGTTTTATACACATTCACAGTCATATGTCACTAAACACCAACCAATCAGAGTAAGAGTGAAACATGTTCTTTGTTCTAGCATAGAATGTGCTTTTAATTTTGAGTCGTTTGAGTCAAACTTAAGGAAGCGCTTTAGCTGTATGACGACTCTGAGGCTCAGAATAATCAATCTTTATAAACAAGCTTTTGGGAGGATTTTTGGGGAGGAACACTCTGTTTCAAGGAAGCCCATCACAGCTCAATGCCACATCCTTTTATAAATACTGGGGGAACTCTTAAGTCAACATGGAAATCATCTTAATGGGTATTATGTTTTGATGACATATGTGGATTCAAGGAGGGGAAAGTCAGTACTCTCCATGGGAAATAAAAAGGTGACTCTTTCACATTAAGTTTTATATATAATGGCTTGACACTTTTGGAAATCATTTTGTACCAATGTGAACTCTGCATCTTTAGGATTTTTTGAAACACACACAATGACTTTGCTACATAGCTCTCCAAAAAGAGAACTTTGATCATGAGTGGCTGCGCCTGGTAGCATGTTTCTTGTGTCATTACTAACACAAATAGCTTATTGCTTTCTGAAATAGCACCCACATCCATTTGAGTCGACAGGAATAACATGTTGTATTTTTGTAAGAGCCATGTCCTACAATATAACATGCGATGTTCGCAGTTAGAATATATACGGCAATTAATCCTTAAACACATCATAAGCTCCTCTGCCATTCAGTGAATTCCAGCAGCCATCTGGACTATATCCAAAAACAGCACTTGAGGAAAAAAAGCCCCCCACCCCAAGAAAATCAGGAAGACAGATTCATGTCAGTCCTCATGAGTGTTGTACATCCTACCATACTTTAGAACAATGTGCCCTTTGTATATACAAGTCTCTCCTGCTTACCTATAGGGAGGAGGTGGGGGGTTTGCTCCTGACGTTGCCTCTGCCAGATATCTTTCAGAGCCTGCCATGTCGCACCAGAGGAGAAACTGTGAGGTTTATTTGAATTCATCTCCTATCTACTCGTCCTACCACCCACCCAAATTCTCATTATCATTCTGAGTGTTATTATTATCTCAGCATCAGCGTGGTACAGCTTTCCCAAAGAGTCTTTGGTCAACACAGCTCTCTGCAGGACCAAGCCCCTCCGTGAGCCTGTAGTAATTTACCCAGATTTGGGCTGTCACTCTTTGCCGGGTTCACAGCTCCCTGCGTTTTCTCTTGTGGCCTCTCTCCCCTTGATGACGGAGAAGATAAGCATGTTGCATTCCGAATCACTGAGCTATGACAAAAAAAGGGGTTCTGCTCAATAAGCCAGATGTAAATAATTGTTGAAAGCAATATAGGGCCCTGCGTCGCAGAGTCCACTTGATGTTTTGCTTGGCTGTGAGCGAGGTGGTTCAGTTTCATTTGGGTCCTGAAATGCCTTTTTAAATGTTTTGTTCAAACCCAGTATTATTTAAAGACTGCACACAGTGAGCTTTGAATATAGAAAGCTGTACGACCAAATGATTTGGAGTGGGAGTAAATCGCAGCTTGAAGGTGACAATATTTTAAAAACTACCAACACTTACTTGCATCTAAATCAGTTGCTTACCACTTCAGGAAAGAAGACGTTTCTAAAGCAGCTTTTAAATAAATACTGTTTTTATTCTGTTATTGGCTTTTTACAGGTACAAAGCATACAGCATGTTATAGTTTTATCAAAAGTGGAAAATACTGATGTTACATATGTAACAAATGTAAAAAATAAGTCTTCAATCTTACTTTCCCCGAAAGTAAGAACATACATTTCAGCATATGAAAATATCCATAAAAACACAGCTTAAGTAATTTAAGTTAATAAACAGTACAAAAATGTAGAAACCATACATGTCAAAATAATGGACAAGGACACCAACAACAAATGACTCCATGATTTCACATGAATTAAAAAAATTTACACAAGTTCATAGTGTTTTAGTTGGGGTCATGTTTATAGGATCCACACATCATCATCATCGCCTGAAAAACACTTGGTTGGTCAGAAAATGCTAAAGCAATTTTGACAAACATCACTATCCCCGCAAAACCTCCTCTTCTACTGAACTTAGACCAGAAAAACAGAAGAGGAAAAGTCCTCCCCTGTACTGAAATCCTCAAATGTCTGTAAGGCAGGGGACTTGTTTAATCCTCACTCTTGGAGCGTTTAGCCAGTCTTCTGTGAGAAAACACACCAGGGCAAAGACAGACAGAGAGAAAAGGGATAATAACATTGGTGGGGTCTGCCATACCGTGCGAGGAAAACGGTGTACTTACTTTCACACAGAGGTCTGTGTCCTGTCACCTACAGGTGCAGTCAGATCAAATACACATGCTTCCTTTTAAGTAAATTAAAAATTGACTGGGAGTTTTCTTTTACTCAAAGGCCCGTTGGAATTCTCTTCCTGTGAGTGTTAATATTATCTACCCTCTTATCTCTCAACTGTGAAGAAGTAGAAGTTTTTGGAAAGGAGAGGCAATATTGGTAATAAAAAACAGAAATGTTTGATCAAGATAACATGAATGGAGCTTTGCAGTTACTAAATGGAATTCAGACATGGATTTCAATTTTCTCTTTTTTTGAACCATTCAGTGTCAATGGATACATTGTAATGAGTCCTCAGAGAGATGAATGCATGATTGTACAGTTGAATTTGGACCTGGAAAAGACTGGTAAACTATTCCAAGGTGGCTACTGACCAAATCTGTCATGTCACAGGTGCCATTGCTCTGCCTTACTGCATTGAAAGTCGTCTTATAATTTTGAATAATGCAAAAAACATGTAGTCCAATGTTCTCTTGAAATATACAGTCTTCCTTTGTCTTTTTTTTCTTTTCAAAATGGAGAACATCACCATATTCTACAACATTGTAATAAATAGTCTCATACATATTGCTCAGCTTCTCCTTCGTTTAGAATGGTCACAGAGCCATCCCCACTGTTCATTTCAATGTCTTTTGCTGCTGCGTTCTCGGGAAGCAAGGCTAAGTCCTTGAACACGTCTACATAATGTCCAAAGCCAGGGCCCCAGTTCAACAGATTGTCCCAGTTGAAGCCCCCAGCTTGCTGGCCCAGTCTGTGGGGCAGGGTGTAGTGCTGGTCAGTAGGGGGCATCTGAGCAACGCCAGGCCCACCTTCTGCCCTCCGGCTCGAGTACCGCCTCTGTTTGAGCCTCCCACCATAGTCCTCATCATCAGCGTCTGACTCGTTGACTTGCGAGAGCTTGGGAACTCGGGAACTATAAGACACTGGCTTGTCCCGTTCATACTCCATCTCTGAGCAGGTGAAGGAGTCATGTGAGTCACTTTCTGAAGAGGACTCTGGGGCAGGGATGCCATCAGCGGGGTTGCGGACCCTTGAAAGCGGCCTGCGGCAGTCCTCCTCAGAGCTGGAGCGCCCGTGGTCTGCGCTGCAGATGCTGGGGTTGCGTGGGCGTGGAGTGTTCAGCCGCTCCACTTCCTCGATGGATAGTCCCACAGGAGGCCCCGTCTCCAGGGGGATCTGCTCGATCGGCTGCTTGAGCCGACTGCCAGGTCTGGAGGTGTGGCCGTGGCTGGCCATGGTCTGCGGACTCTTGCTCCGCCTCCCCAGCCGGGTGGCATAGTTAAACATGGGTGGTGGCTGGCACATGTCATTGTGCAGGTCCAGTGGGCTGCCCTCACGGCGAGCCAGGTTCAGTTCTCTGGTTGGAGTGTTTCTGTAAAAGGAGGAGGGCTTGGTGAATGGAGCTGGGGAGTGCCTGGAGAGAGGGTTTGGGGTGGGGCACGCTGAGTGGGAGTGGCTGAGTGGGGTGGACCGTAGTGCTTGGGTATACTGAGGCTGGTAGGTGTAGCTTGTTGCTCCAAGGGGTAAAGGAGACTGTCTGGCGAAGCCCAGCGGGCTGTGTCTCTGGATAGAGAACTTGGGCGTGTGGCTGCGGAACTGCTTGTAGTGTTGGATGATGTCTGCATCTGAAGGGGCGATACTGCTGGCATTGTCTATATCATAGTGTTCAATATCTGCCTCTGGGCCATTACAGGGGGCGCAGGGAGCACTGGGGACGGTCTCATTGTTGTGGGGAATGTCTGTTTCATCATAGATAAGATAAGGGTTCTCCCTCTCAATAATGTCTGGTTTGGGGTTCCCTTCTGGTTGTTTCCGTACTGTCATGTCATCTCCATATGGAGGTATGTTATCTGGGTCATCGAATGCAACATTCTCACTACCCTTTTTCTTTTTCTTCTTCTTCTTCTCCTTCTCCTTGGGTTTCTTCTCCTTGGGTTCTTTTGGCACTTTGGTTTTGTTGCGGCCCTTGCAGTGGTTGCACAGGATGAGACTGAGCACCACCAAGGCAAGGACAGTGGCACAACTGCCAACAATAGCAGGCACCGCCCAGATGGGAAGGACCATAGTTTCTGCTGTGGGGCTTGGGCTGCAGACAAATCCGCCGTTGTTGGCTGTCTTGCAGACAGTGCCCTCAGGGCACTGGGCACCCAGACAAGCCACCAATGTCTCACAAGTCTTGCCTGTGTAGAACTCGGAACAGACACAGGTGAAACCTGAGCGGGGGTCCGGCACACAGCTGCCATGGTTCTGGCAGGGATTAGAGGCACAGTCACCAGGTGGGACACACTGGTACGTGTACCATTGGTTGACGCACATCAAACCATCCCAGCATGGGCTGCTCTCACACAGGTTGGGACCCCTGCAGCCGATCTTAACAGACGAACTCGTCTTAGTTAAGGTGACAAGGCTGTGTTCTTCCGTAAATGGCAGGTTCTCCCCATTGTACTTCACATAGGCCAAGCAGCCGTCAAAACCTGCAAATAAATCAGAGAGAAAACTGCTTCAGAAAACAAGAACCAGCTATCAGCAGCTAACAAGGGCATACGAGTGGCCTGGAGGGGATTCATTTCCGATTGCCACCAGACTGATGGGTTTTCAAATGTCTGTCGACTGGATTGCTTCTTTGTAAATAACAGGAATGGGAGCCATAATCAGAGCTAAGGAATTTTGTTTAGACGGGTAATTGGTTCAAGCTTCGGACAAAAAAAGTGAAATTTCCTTCAAAAATATATATATTCTAAAATGGGCCAATTCAATCGCTGGCCAATTTGAGAGAAACATGAAATATCTTCTAACAGAGAATCCATCATCAGAGCCATTATAGCTTCAAGACATACATCTGGGTTGGATGAATGTCTCTGTGTCTAATTCAATCTTTTGCTTCTTGTGTTGCCCAACAGCACTGCCTCACCGATGTAAATAGATTTTTATTGAATTTATCCCAGTGCAGATTAAATCCATTTGTGTCTTTTCATTAGCTCTTGAAAAGTGAGTACACAACAAAACACGACTGTTCAGACACACATTGAGGTAAGGGTTGGTTAACAGGCACAGATCTGCATGCTGAGAAAATGCTTGTTTTATAAATGACCTGGTTCTTGTATAAAAAAGGTCAACAAATCTTTAAAATTGCCAATTTTTACCATATTAGTCCATAGTATTAGGTTAGTTTTTCCCTCCCTTGAAATTCTGAAATTTACTGTGTTGCATTACCTCCCTCTGGAAACCCTCTCTTTCACCTTTTACAAACTGTTCTTAACTCATGCTCAAGGACATCTGATCTGTGATTTAAGTCTAAACTAAAATGAGAGTTCATGGAAATAAGACAAAAACACCAAAAGTCCTCAGAGACAGGCGCTCCAAGACAAAGTCAAATTAAATCAATATTAGTTATTTTGTCCATAAATGATACTGTGATAAAAAAAACATTTACTCAGCTACAGTAAATTCATAGCAGGTAAATCTCAGCAGTGTCAAATAGAAACAGATTTCAGACCAGAGCTCATTGGATGGCCACCAAATATGGTCAACAGTTTGCACAGCAGACTACTAATTCATTTGGGGAAAAAAACGTATGTACTGGATTTATAAGGGCTCATAAGCTCATGAGTGCTCCATCACACATATGTACAGTATGTGCATTGGCACAAACCTGTTGTATATAGAAAAGGTTTCCATAACATGCTGCATTAGTAATTTACAGTGGGTAAAGAAAGGGTGAGCTTCTTGGTCAAACGCCAGATTTTGAAAGCTTAGGCGTGTGTTTGACACAGCAAGTAAATACACATGTATGTTCATATGTTCATATGAATAGTGTACATGCAACAAGGGTTTGACTGTCATAGGTCTGGAGAGGGCAATATCTAAACTGAGATTTCTAGCAAATGTCTTGTCGAAACATTACAAAAATCTAGTGGGTCCCAATGAAATGTTTTATTGAAAGAGTAGGATAACTTCTGGGAAAGTATTTTAGAATATCACAGGACACTAAAACTGTCTGATGAAAATGAACATGGCCCATTCCCACCACATACATTATGTACTCTGAATTGGAACTACATTGAAAAATTCTTTGTACACTGAAAAAATATCTCAAATATTTGTGTGGAGCTCAAGGATCTCTCAGTTGTGGTAATGAGGGAGGAGAAATCACTGTCCTGATTTTTCCTGCCACTCAAACTTGTGACCTTCCAGTCACAAGCCAGCTAATTAGATTTTTAGCAATTATATGTCTGGCTCAGAGAAATAGGCTTTGGGTATAAGCCTGCCATTGGCTATCTTGATTTAGAATTGTCCTCCCTTCCGCTGTCTTCCGACACTATTTTTGCTGCATTCTGGGCTTAGCGCTGCCCAAGACGATTGTGATACCAGAATGAGAATGGGTTCAGCCAGACCTTTCTCCAGAGCTGGCACAGTGCTAAAACAAAGTGTGGAGACAGGTCTGGCTATGCAAGACTACTCAATTATAGACAGAAATGACTTCCCTCCTTTCCAACCCAAACACATTTTAAATACACTGTCGAGGCTAACCTGCTGCAGTTTTCTGCTGAGCAGGTCCAGGTGGGATCCCTCCAAGGGAAAAGGTTAAAACACTGAGACCTCCAAAGTCCTGGGTGGCGTGCTGGATGACCCTCGCGTGGTTGCTGTCTACCTGGAGCACTGTGGCTGAGCCGTTCTTGACCAGCTGGAGCGTGTGCCACTGGCCGTCTGACAGCACTACGTCTCCCACGGTGCGCTCCACCTTCCCCCCAACGCCCGCATCTGAGATGTAGTGGATGTTGCCATTCTTCAGCTGAGAGAAGAAACAGAGATTGAGGTTACACATAGTCCACACAGTCAGTTGAAGATAGGTTAACGGATAATTGGTCACGCAAAATATATGAGAGTACACCTTTGAATCAGTGTTAAAATGCATGAAAAATGGCTTCATCCTTCTATGGGCAGCCTTATCTTATTATTATATTACCAAAGAATTCAAAACCATGTGATAAAAAGTAAAAAACTATTTTTTTTTACTACAGCAAATTTGTTCTCAAGGGTTTAGTGTAAGTCACAACATCTTGATATGAGAATTCTACCTCAAAACAATTATATGTGGAGACCATAAATGACAATAGATAACTGTCACACAGCCCTACTTTCACACAAACAAGACTAAGAGTCAACATGCACAGGCTCTGTGAGGCTGTACTTAGGCACAGCAGTGATTTCAGCACGCGAATACGCTCACAATGATAATAATGAACAATCCAACAGATAGAGATATTTCAGTCTGGACCAAAGTGTTGGACTGAGAGTATCTCTGAGTCCACCAATTGTCTATACAGTATTATTTTCCATTACATTGCTCAACAAGTAAATAATTAAAGTTATATTGTCTCTGTCAATATCCACATTAAACAGTGCATCATAAATTGGAGATGAGTAGACAGACTAGATGAGTAAATTGATCAATTACTCAGTCCCTGAATCTGCATGCTGTTATAATTCTCGCATGATAAATAATGTTCTCTGAGAGGAGTTGCATAAACTATGGTTAAAATGCATTTTTTCTGATTAATGCAATGACTTATCATGTCAGCATCATTCATGAGCAATGACAGGAAGTCTTCTCTCAGTCTCCACAAAACTTCTACCACACTGCTTTCAGGATCCGATGTTGAGGTCAGAGATCGAAAAACAAAAATGCAGCTTGGTGCTCATAAATCTTTCTCCCAGCGGGACACACTGCAGTTAATCATGTTCTCACAACTTGTGTGTGTAGCTAATGTTATTCAGCCAGAAGATGATCAGAAGCTTGCTAACAACCAATTCAGAGAAAACATGCTCATTCAAACGCCCACTGGCGTCTTTCCAGAAAAGAGAGTGCATCTTTAAAAGAAATGAATCAAGCTCACATTGGCATGGACAACAAATTTGCGGCTTACACAGTGTATGGTAATCTCATATGCGCACTCCCCACTTCGATGGAAAAGTAATCCCGTTCTCCTCCTTTCAAAGACCCCAAAAATCAGCAATGATAAGTAGCTTCCGGAAGAATTGATTTAAACTGGGAAAAGCGGAAAGTCCCCCAAGCCAAAGAATACTGAGTGCTCTAAACCTGGAAAACCAATCATGAAGTTTATCTATTAAACATCTTGTTTTTTATATCTCAGTATATATAGTCCTGACTCTCAACATATGTACTTATACAGTGGGTATTCCCCTGCCCTTCCTCATGGTACTTATAATACTTTTCTGGACTGTTTGGGAAGCTGTGATGGTGATTTGATGAGCACCAGAACCTGCTCAGAGCCGGAAAACAAAATCATAAGAGAGAAAGTCTGATACTAAAGTGGGAAGGGGTAAGTGGTGGTGAGGGTGAAGGGGTTCTAAAAGGAAAATTGAAGAGGATGAATGAGCGCTCAGGACTCTTTGGGCAGCTGCCCAGGATCAGTTGGAGGGAGGGTGTGCTGAACAGGATGAGAGGAGAGAAAGAAGAATTAGGTGGTTAAAAAAGACCCATATAGTTGGCCTGTAGTTTATACTTGGAGAGAGTATGTGGGGCAGTGAGTGGGGTTGTAAGGGGTAAATCAAAGTAAGGAGATGGTGTACATATCTGTAGCCAACCATTTCAACTTACATACTGTACATACAAAATTAAACTAATGATGGGGTCATGAGGTCCAAATTTCCAGGGGGCCTTTCATTGTCAGTGTACTGCATGTTTGCACGCGTACAAACCGAAACATGCACATGACTACAAATGCTGTTGGTGATGCAACGTATCATCTGGCCGCCACATTGCACGACCTCAGCTGTGTCATCTCAAACAAACTGATGAGCCAAAGCTGTGCTGACAGTGACTAGGAGCGAATCATGAGCTAATTATGACTTGCACGTAAGCTAATGAGATTTGTGAGTCTGCAGTATGGCTAGTGGCCTAACATTAACATTAATTACCTAAGAAATGCTGATTGTGTTGCTAGAAATTGGAGTATTTTTACCTGTGATTTGGGGTGATGCATAATGTGTACATGGGACCATTTCCTGTGATGATAATCTACCTCAATGAATGTGATTTAAAGGAGATTTGTAAAATACAAATGCAGCCTATATATGAAGGATTATAGGGTTCTTATATTACAATAAATTATTAACTTGGGGCCAGGGCTTTTATTTACCTAAACTAAAAAGAGATATATCATTAGAGATAGGCCTTTCTTTCTAATGTGCCCTGTTTCATATTATTATTATACTTAGCAAGAAGCCTTCATGTTTTCTCCTCTTGGTAACAGACACAAAGTTCTGTGCACACTTCTAGCAGATCAAGGGGCACTGTCTATTCCCTGCCGCAGAATGCTTTAAATTAATCAATGCATTATAAAAAGAGAAACTTTAGGACGATGACTATGTTGCATTTCTGATGGTGAATCAGATGCTGTGGAAATACATTATGATGAATTCTCAACATCAGCCATAGTAGAAATAATATTTTTTCTCAGACTCAATCTGGGAACTGTTAGTACATACTGCTATCAATAGAAACTTTTCGTTAATACTCAAGATATCCATACATTGCCACATCATTATAACATAACCTTCACTTCTTCTTGCTTACGTACCTTAACAGTAGTGTAGTTGCTGCTCTCTTGCACATGCAGTAGGGTGCCGCTTTTGCTGCGTGTCCTGAACTTGACCTCCAAGCTGCTAGGATTGCCTGGGTCAGAGGTTACGCCCTGCAGTGACTGTTTAAGAAGGACGTCGCGTTTAGGGCCTTGCTTAAGGGAGTAGTCCAGACGGCCGGTACCATCCAGGGACAGGGCAGTGTCTGCTGTCATGTCTATGGGAGAAAGATAGAGAATATCCTCAATCCTGTCTGACTTCACAGAAGTTTCACAGGCGACTGCAAAACTTTTATTTCCACTCCGGAACTGGTGGACACTTAGGCCCAAATGATTTTCCTAATCCAATTCCCATAAGCACAAATTGGTTCTTACATTCTCAGCAGTGGTTACAAATATCTTCCGATCAATGAAAGATGTAGGTCAATGCACAGAACAGCCCATGTGCCCTTGAGCAAGACACTGAACCTCTACCTACACCCTATTCAGAGCTTCACCTACATATCACTCAGGCCAGATTTCTGGTTATAAGTTGATTGTAAATTGTGTGAATGCATTATGTGTTTATTAGCTAAACTTTAAGCTTTGCTAATAAACCATGTGATGTAATTTTTTTAAAGCTACAGTACAATAATTTACAGAACCTTCACACAGTGTAATTGCCCTTCAGAAGTAGATTTACAAACAGTTGAAATTAAAATGTGTAAGGGATTTTTATGGTTAACACCATAAAATGGTTGATTAATTTAAAGTGTTTATAATGATGTTCAGTAAAACGATGTATTCTGGTGGATGTATTCTCCCTCCTCACATAAAATGCTCTTGAATATACCCGCGCAGTGCAGTATAGATTTAAATTTTTTTATTTGTGAAGCCACAACGACAAAAAAAGAACCAGCGAGTGGATTTGCTCCCGGAAGTGAAGTACATCTGGACAAATATTTTATGTTCAACTTTGGTGAATGTTGATATGCAAATTCGTGCTGTTGACTAATAGAAAACGTCTGACTTTAGACAAAAACTAGAGCCAGGGAGTTGAAAACAGAAGCTGTTGTAGGTCATTAGCTGTGTTGCACTATACACTTTCATACACACAACTCTCAGGGAGTATGCTCCACAAAAAAACCCCAAAAAACCCGCTGTGATCTTGTTTCGTGCCATGAAACAAACCAGCAGATTTCCCACAAAATCAAACCCAATGACAGAGAAAACTCTGGGGTGGAGGTTCCCAGACTTCTCAACTGATGATCTTGTTTGTTCCCGGTAACAATATGAAAGTCTCAACATAAATGTGGTAATGGTTATTGGAAACATTGCTAAACATACTGTAGCACCTTACACAGTAGCTGGCAGTTTTTGTGGGCCTCAAAGGTTTCTCATTCTGTTTTAGTTCTCTGATGTTGAGTCTGAGTAATGATACTATAAAATACACAAATGCTTTGAAGTAGAGCTCAGAATGCAGTGATGTGTCCTATATTAAGCTACATGGTGCAGCTCGATGACTCATGAGGGAGGAATCATAAATAGTTATGATAGAATTTTCCTTAGTAAGTGCAGCCTCAGCAATAAAGAAACACATCAAAGGCATATACTTACATTTCTCACAGAATTTGCCAGTGAAGCCATCAACGCACTGGCACTGCTGCCAAGACCAGTGGTCCAAACAGGTGCCCCCATGTCTGCAGGGGCTGGTGGTGCAGGCTCCTTCCAGTCTCGGACATCTACAGATACAACGACACACAAAGCGACAATCAGACAGTCAGTTTGACAAGTCAGCCGCACAGTTCGCAGCCGGGGGGTCCAAAGAAGAAGAAACTCCAGAAAAGGGGGGCAGATGAGCTGTGATTTCTCTCCCCGTGATGCAATACAAAACCCCCCTAAAGAACCCCAAGAGAATTAACATATTAAAAGATCTGTCCTCGCCTCACTATTCATATACCAGCAGAAAAAAAATTCCCTGGAATTCTGCAATTGGTTTCCCCCATCAAAAATCTGCCATTTGTATTAAAAAAACATCTTTTTAAAATCTCTCGAGAGGGTTTGAGAGTGTGAACAGATGTCCCACAGCGAGAGTCGGGTAGGTTAGAGAAGACGGGCAGATGGAAAAGAAGAGGGAGATGATGGAGAAAGGGTGAATGCGGGAATAGGAGGGATGGGGTTGGGTTGAGCGGACCTGTCAAGGATGCCACGCGATGCCAGTGCCTGACTGGGCTCCAGCGGGCGGCCGTTGACTGCAAACTCCATGATGCAGCCGACAAAGTCGTGGGTGGCGACCTGACCGCGCCGATGAAGGACGGGTTCTATTGACCTGACGCCTCCCACCAAAAGCCTGTTGGGCTGCACATCCAGGATCCTGCATGCACACACACACACACACACACACACACACACATAGATGAACAGAAGCACACAATGACTTAAATGCATGCAGACACAAAAGGACATATGCACAGATCCAAAAGCTTACAAATGCATTCAAGTATTTAGAGGTATGCACACACACACACACACACACACACACACACACACACAGACAGACACACACAGAAAGACACTGTGGGTCAGTGAGTTTCACAACAACATGGACCCGAGACCCTTACAAAATAAACCTTCTGTAGACCATTGGCCCTTCCTCATCTGCCAAACCAATCTCTCTCTCTCGCTCTCTCTTTCCCCCTCTCACACACACACAATCTATACACACAAAAACACATGTGCAGTCCCACGTTTTTACCCCACAGGGCCTGGCTCAGTGCTGTCTGTGTGTAAAGGCAATGATCATCCAGTAATTTAATGAAGGTTTACATCATATATTGTATATTTACAACAGATGACTTCATTTTTGTATTATCATTGCACAAAAATGTATGAGAATTGCATATACCATGTTAAGCAATTTTTTTCATCCAGATACTAAGACAGTAAGGCAGTACTAACAAATTAAAATAAAAAAATAAAAATAAAAGCTTGATTGAATTTTCTCTATAGAGCTCTCTATAGAACAGCATATTGTAGGGATATTAAATTGTTTTTTACCATTACATATTCAGATAAAACAAGGGGTTGGTTTAACTTGTCACATCAGAACAAATGCAACCAAGGGGTCATAAGGACATTGCTTTGTATTAAGGGTTACGATATATAGGGTAAAGTAAAACAACAGCAGCAAAGAATTCAGAAAGTATGTTCATACCTGGTTTTGTATTATTTTCCATTATTTCGCCAGACATGGAAAATTTCATTACATATTGAGTTTTCCAAGCCTTGGAACTAAAACTGTCAACACTATTTTAATGTATACATTTACAGCATAGAAACATGACATCTGTGTAGGGTGTGTGATTTTCTTACCAGTCAGTGTGTACTGCCACATTGCTCACAGCACAGTAGCCTGGTTCCTGGTCATCACCACACAGGTCCACAGTCAGAGATGCAGCCTACATGATGATAGGAACACACACACACACACACACACGCATGTCATGTGTGATTGTCTAACTAACAGTTTTAAAGTCACACTGCCTCAGTCCATTATTTTTCCCGGAGGAGACCCCACTCTTTGAATGGGAAACTGAGCTTGACATAGTTGTTTGCATAGCTCAAACACCAACAGGCTGTTTAAGTCACAGCCACAGTTGCTTGTGGTAGCTTCATATTTAATGTTCAGACATGAGAGTGGTATCAATCTTCTCATGTACCTATTTCGCAAAAGGTTGATCTATTCCTTAAAATCTTGTAAAAGATTCAGTATAGATGGCAATGTAAGTGCTGTGATCGTCACAATGAATGACAGTGACATACAGTAAAAGTCAGATGTAAGCTGTATCACATATGTGTAATGCGTGTTAATGTTTTTTTTGAGAGATTTTAAGATTTGTGTGAAAAATATCCTCTTATGCTCTGTAACTTTCACTCCAGGGTTCAGGTTCTACCCATTTAGGGTTACTTCAACCAATACAATTATTTCTCCCTGAATATTTGTGTGACTGAGTCTTGTTCAATGTTTTTTTCTGTTCACCAAATGGCATGTAGGCCAATTATTTTTCATAATCTCATCACAGTGGTTGATGGGAGAATGGCATAAATATGCCATACATTACATTTCCTATTTCCCGTTAATGATACTAAAGCTTTTGACCAGATGTGGGTTATTCTCCTGTTCCCTCTCTGCTCTGAGAGGGAATGACCCTACTAGGAAGAAAAGAAATGAGCTGGTGAAGAAACTGTCCGGAAAAGTGTGTGAAAGTGTTGAAAAACCAGGGCAATCATGCTCCACCTTTCCTGGATCTTAAGTAAACACGGACCACACTGGCCCGGATCTCCAACACAAATCATCCAGGAGAGCACGACCCCACCAAGCGCACACACACAGACACACACACACTAAGCACGCTTGAGTCAAAATTGAGATCAGACACATGGACGCATACGCAGAAGCACGTCAGAGTAAAACACACATTCAAACGCCCCAACACTTTGACAATAGCGAGGCGAGGAACAACAGGACTCGTTTGTCTCAAACACATTCGTGACTCTCTGAAGCGCCATAAAGAATGTCAGAACCACATAAACATTTTATTAATGTCTTTTCCTGTGATCAAAGGCATCATGCCTTACACACACTTCACTTACTGTCAAGTGTCTCATATTGAGGTAAAAAATATTAATCTCAAGAAAACCCCTTGGAAATTAATTGTAACAACAAAAAGTTAAGTATTGTGTTTTTGGGATTGGCTAACATTGAAGGAAATGTTAAGAAAGCACCACTGGAGATCATTGTTTTCCTCATGACTAATGTTATGGAGGGACCATAGCATTGCTCTCTGTTGTGGTTCAGGCCCTGAGTAACTGCTGTGCCGCATTTGTTTTGTGCTTTTTTCTAGGACAAATAATTCAGCTAATCAAAGGTTTGATGATTAGCTGCTCGTGCTAATCAGCTACAGTGAGCCCTAATCTGTCAAACTACATTTGCAAATCTCACTCACAGAAGAGGTTGTTGTTTGTTCTGTCTTACAACCCTGATTTAAAATAAACTAAACTAACTTAGTTTTTGCACGAATGTTCCCAGCTGTGTAATTTCACAATTACATTTATTATTCTCCTACTTATCCCCCTCCAGCCATGCAGATAGTTTTGTTTTTGTTTGCACAGATTTTTGAGACTTCTGCCATTACTCCAATGCAACTGAGGTCAATGGAAACTCATTTACTTGTTGCATTTACCAGTTATCTTGTGTTCTGAGTTTTGTCCATGACTATCACATTCCTTTAAAGGTTCAGTGTGTAAGTTTTAGTGGCATCTAGTGGTGAGGGTTGCAAATTGCAACCAACAGCTGAGTCACCACTCAACCCTCCCTTTGAAAGTGCATAGGAGGAGCTATGGTGGCTCTGTCGGCTCTTGTGCTAAATAATTCATGTGGTCCTCCATTTGTCCACGGATTAGCAATAGGTAGTTTTAGCAGTTTCAATTGGGATCTATTGGACATCAAATCTGAAAAATAGTTTAAAAAACTGTGAATTTACCCTTACCAGCATACTTTGCATGATGAATGATTTTCCTGCTTACAACACTTGTACTCAAAAACTATTTAAATAACAAAGGAAACTATAGCCGTAATAAACTACAGTACACTACCTGTCCAACACCAAACGTCAGTTAGTATTATTATTTCTCATTGGTGGAGACAAAAACAGCTAAAATGAGAGTAAATATTGGAATTACATTCACCAGGTTGCCAGAAACACAACTCAAAATGAATGCTAATGATGTTTTGTTTGCTAAAATATTTACCATCATCGAGGTCTGTTAGGTGATAATAAATCAATGTTGTGTTTATAGCTTGTTGTTGTTGTTGCAGTTCTCCCAAGTGAATGGCAAAAAAACATTACATCAATTGATAAAAGGTTTAAACAGCAAAACTGAACATTTACATAGAAACATGTCACAATTGGACCAAAATGGACCACAGCACCTTTTGCAAACATAGTGATCAGGTTCACTTTTAACTGGGGGAGCTGGCACTTCAGGCATGACACACACACACACACACATTTCTTTGTCATACTTCAAGAGCACTTACATGGTCACCTCCACACACTATTCATAGGGCACTGTATGCAGACAGAATCACAGTGCTCAACTTGTACTGTATTCCTTTCCATCCCATCACTCTGCACCATCTCAAAACTGACAATTTAACGATTTTACCAGCTTCCTATGAAACTCTCAGTGCACGGTGGGAAATGACAGATTTGAAGTCCTGCAGGAGAGCTACATTACAGGAAGGTTTGACAGGGCCTGGTTGCATTCTTTCCCTCTTTCCTTGCCACTGCATTGCTGGCAGGGAGAAGCCTCTCATTCAGAGCACAAAAGACAGAATTTCAACCTTCAGGGTCATTTTGGATCCTCGTATTGTAAATCACAACGAGCAATAAAATATAATTACAAACCATGAAAACCATAAGCTGAGCTACCCGTGGTTTGGGGCAGTTTAATTATCATCTGATGGTGCAAAAAGAATATAAGGCCAAATTTGGATGCAGATTTCAGCTATAAAAACCCAGGATATAAATGCTAATGATAGTGGAGCCTACGTTGTGAGTCCATACTATGTGGCATTTAGCAGATTTTCTACAATGTTTTTTCTACTAGACCCATAAGAACTATTGAGCCACTAAATGAGATATTTTCCAAGAATGCATGATGAAAAACATCTGACATGCAAGCTAATTTCTACCATAAAAATATATATTCTTACCATCCCAGCTCTCCTTGCAATGACTGTGTGGAACTGCCCATCCGAAACTTTTATCATGGTCATTAGTTTATAAGTTCCACTTCCCAAGTTGAAGGAGAAGCGCATCCGTCCCTCGAAGATCTCCAGAGCCAGAAACTCTGCCTTGTCTCCGGTTTGGTTATCATGGTTGTACATAAGCAGCGAGTTGCTCTTCAGAGTAGCAAACTTGATATATATGTAGTTATTGTTGGGATCCAGCGACGGAAACTCCATGTAGGAGAGCTCCTCAAAGCCATAGCTGTTCAGTTCACAGTGTTTGCCGAAAACCCCTGAGGACAAAACAAGCCAAAAGAGAACTCAGAGAGGAAGCCAATGAATGATTCACGGTGCTGCTGTGACAAAAATATCTACAAAACAAAATCTTCATTGAGCAAAATTATATGTATCGTAATAACATAGCAGATATCACTGATGTCAGATCATAGTCTTGTATGTTTGAAAGGTTACAAACTTATTCTTTTTGCCCACATAGGAGGCTTATTGATGACAACATCAATACAAAGCATGAAAAATGAAGACACAAAATGAAATGACAGTGTTCACATATGTTTAAATAATCATGGATAAATAATGGTATAACTTTCTTTTCTGTAGGAAGACTGCACATCTGAAATGTCCATCTTGCTTTTCAATTTACCAGCGCTTGCTAATAGCCTAAAAAGTTTCCTACAATTACTTACCAAATGGACAATGACAGTAATATCCATCCACCCGATTCTGACAGGACCCGCCATTAAAACAAGGGTTACACTCACAGTGATTGATGATGGAATCACACGTTTTGCCTGGGTTCACAGAACAACACAAATTAAAATGGATGGGGTGGCAGACAACACAGGAAAACCCAGAAGGGAACAGAGTTCTCTTTCCCCACAGGCCAAGTCATGCAGGCCTTTTATCACCTCACAGCTGAGAAATGCACTGCAAAAAAAATCCTACTACAAATCATTTAAACTTGCAGCGAGTCATTAAATCTTATTTTGTGTTGAAACAATCATAACATAAATAATTGAAAGATTGAAGAAATTTCACCTGTCCTAATGCAGTTTCACCTATTTTTTTTTTCTTGATATTTTGGAATATAAATCACTTGTCCAAGATGACATCATTTGAACCAAAACAACATCTTGAAACTTTCATAGGAAAAAAGAAATGATCTCAAGCAATTGGCAGATTCTTCTCACTAAGAATAGTCGGATTTTCAAACTTGTTGCAAGATCAAATTACATTTGGACAAGGCTGTTTTTTTTGTAGTTGAGAAAGACAAACATTTGCAATGTACATGAATAGCTGTCACGTATATACAGTAGGTGAACATCTAAATGAGTTGAAAGTTTTAACATCATGATAAAGACTGTGACATAAAAAAATAATGGACTGGCAATTAATGAATCAGACATAGTACAAAATAAAAAGACTGACAATGAACTTCTGCAAAAATATTTTAGGCTGTAAATCCTGCGACAAGTTGCTTAATGGAGATAGATTCTGCTGCCAAAAACTAGCCGGGGAAAACAGGAAGTTGAGAGTTCACTGTGAGGGCATGCAAACTACTGTAAGTCAATAGGTGCATTTCTTCAGGAGGGTCGTTTATCTTGATGAAACCTAAAGATTTGAGTTAATTTTTTATCGTCATATTAAAGAGGGACAGTAATGACTTGACTTGAGGCAAATCGCCTGCTACGGCCCTCTTTGAAAATGTCTTTCAGATGCTGGAGTCAGCAGCTGGACAACATGCAGGATTCAAACGACTTCTTCTAAGTAATTCCACTTAAAGTACACTCACTTTTATCAAGGCTAATAATGTAGTGTATTCATTACATTTCCAAATGAAAAAGCCCGATTGGATCTTCTATAAAGCTGCTCATTTGTCATACAACTCAAAACAGAGCCCAATAAGAAATCCTTGATTAAGAAATCCTTCTGTATACATTTGGATTAGAATTGTATCTGTGTGTGGTCAAAGCTGCATGCACATGAAGGCACACAGTGAAATGTGATACTCGTGAACTGTCTGTGGAGTATACACTCAAGTCCTGACTAGGGTCAGGTTTGCATCATCCTATTTATTAAAGCAAACATGGAAGGCTGATATGCATCACAGCTGATACCCCCCAACTAGTAATCTGAAAACTAAACTGTTTTTGGCAACCATGCTTGTATGCTATGGCTACAACACCTCTTGGAAACATTCAGAAGCAAATATTTTCCTTGGACCCAAAGCCATATGTGTGACTACATTATTGTGTGTGTGTGTGTGTGAGTGTCAGTGTGTGTATGTTTCCCCACATATTTTTCTTCCAAGCCTAACAAGTGACTGTGTGGTCAGACATAAAATGTGACTCCTACGTGTATAGTACCTGCAAAGCCGGATTTGCAGAGGCAGTTAAAGCCGCCGGGGAAGTTCTGGCACAGTGCCCCATTCTTGCAGGGATTGGAAAGGCATTCGTTGATATCCCTCTCACAGGCCATCCCGGTGAAACCTTCAGGACAGGTGCAGGAGAAACCCCCCACCAGATTGTGGCAGGTGCCACCATTGTGGCAGGGCGATGGCTGGCACTCGTCGATGTCTGTCTCACACAGAGCTCCTGTGTATCCTGGCCTGCAGCTGCAGGCGTAGGGCTGCAGGGGGTGGTTGGAAACAAGGATCACTGGGACACTTTCTTCTGTCTTCATATCAGGCCCGACACTGAGACGCCTCTTGCAGCTGCCTCCATTCTGGCATGGGTTGCGTGTGCAAGGATCATGGTCCACCGCATCTATTTGCACCCCACTCTGTCTATATAAAATGTCTTTGATACTCTGGAAGAATGTGGCCACGCCGCTGGGGTTGACATATTGTCCGTGGCCCCGTTTCACAGCTGCCATTAGGAAAGTCTGATTGTTGAGTTCAAATGCTCCATAAAGCAGCACTCCTGTGCCTAGTCCTGCTAGCTGAGAGTTGGCAATGCGTAGGAAGCTGAGGTAGTGGTTGGTAAGGAAGCTTTTGACTCCTTGAGATTGGAGTCGGATGAGTATGCTGTTGTCCACTGTGGCATTCGTGAAGCCCATGAAGAGGACTCGGGCTGTATTGCTGACTGAACCATGAACACCATCACTGCTACGGATGGTTAGTTCAAAAGTTCCATCCGTTGAGCGAGCTTTAGAGTTGAGGTTGCATGTACCAGTTGGGATACTAAACAGACCGGAGGATGGCGGAATAAGAGAGCAGTGGAACCTATCCTGAATGTCAGGGTCTTGGGGTTTGACATCTCCCAAAGAACCTCCAGGAAACATGTTCCCAAAGTAGTGGACAAAGATTTCCATGGACCTTGGCTCGGAAGGATTGTCATTCTGATCATTTATTTTGATGCGAATTGTTCCTGTGGAGGACATTTGAGGCACACCAGAGTCCTTGATCACAACGGAAAGGTAGAAGTCACTAAACTGTTCTCTGTCTATCTCCCGACTGGTGGTTAACACTCCAGCTGGACTAAGGCTGAAGTAGCTGTTGGCAGATCCAGAACTGAGAAGGCTGAATAAGAAAGGGCCTTGGTTGGGTGGTAGATCTGGGTCAGATGCTGCTAGTGTGGTAACTGCAGTGCCAGCTCTCTGATTCTCCATCACCTCAGCATAGGCAGTTGTCAAAGTTGGACCATTATCATTGATATCTTCCAGATTCACAATCACGGTGGTGCTTCCGGTTGCAGGAGGTGTACCAGTATCCACAGCAAGAACTATTAGATTATACACAGGAGTTGTTTCTCTGTCTAGCTCTGCAGCCACAGACACTTGGCCAGTTTTTGGGTTGATAGTGAAAACATTTTTATCAAACTCTGGAGCAATGGAGTATGAAAATCTGCTCCAACTTGGTACAGAGTCTGAGTCCTCAGCATTCACAAAGGTAACAAGACCACCAGGTGAGAGACCTTCACTAACCTGCACATCATACAGTTCTTGGGTAAAAACAGGAGGGTCATTGGCATCAAGAACTGTGATGTTCACAAACACCTCGTCAATATCTGCCCCGCGGATGCTTCCAGCATTCTTTGCCAACACCTTCAGTGAAATCTTTTCCTCTTTCTCACGGTCTAGAGTACCTGTGACATAAATCTGGCCTGTTTTCTTGTTGATGCCAAAGCCCTTCTTTCTGCTCTTCCCAAAAATGAGGTAGTAAACCACTCCATCATCTCCTTGGTCTCGATCACTGGCGAACACTTCCCCGACCACTGTGCCTTTTGGAGCAGCTTCAGAGATTTCAAAGTAGTACTGTTTGGAGACAAAGCGGGGTACGTATTCATTGGCTCCCTTTAGCTGAATGTTGACATTGGCGAAGCTGCAGCGCTCCTCGTCTGGGACATTAAAGGCCTTTACTGTTAAATGGTAGACCTGTTTAGCCTCGTAATCCAAGAAGCCCTGGGTGGTGATAGTGCCCGTGTTGGGGTCAATAACAAAGAGGTCACTGTCTGATGACTGTATCACGTAAGCCATGACCGCGTTAGCTCCCGAATCACGGTCTATGGCATTCATTTTGACCACAGTGGTGCCACTAGGAACATTCTCCTGTACAATGGGGAAGTACTCGTCAGGATCAAACATAGGAGGATTGTCATTCACATCAGTCACATGTATTGTGACGGAGACATAGCTTGTTTTTGCAATCCAACCACCATCAGTAGCTGAAACTCTAAGCTCATGTTGTTGCTCCTCTTCAAAATCCAGAGGGTGCGCTAGGGATAACACTCCACTTTTACTATTAAGTGAAAACAGACCCTTGTCATTGCCTGAAGTAATATTGTATGTGATAAGGCCATTCATTTCTTTATCTTTGTCTCTGGCAGACAGGGTCCTTATTGCTGTTCCCACAGCAAGGCTTTCAGGTACAGTAGCTGAGATTTGGCTTTGTGAGAACTCAGGCGTGTGATGGTTTTCCTCTGTGACTGCGATTCGCACGGATATTCGTGCAGACAAAGGAGGATTTCCCCTGTCACTTGCTGTGATGTCAATGAGAAACATTTTATTCATATCAGATGTAAGGGAGGAGGCAACAGTGATCCATCCACTTGTTTTATCTAGTTTGAATTTACCAGAGCTGTTTCCACCTGTTATTAAGTACTCGACCTCAGAATTAAGGCCAAAGTCTTTTTTGTCATGAGCTACAACCCTAATCAATCTGGTACCAACCTTGACACTTTTAGTGACAGGAGTAAAGTAGCTAGGCAAATCAAACTCAGGGGGGTTATCATTGCTGTCTACGATGTTTACAATTACTGTCGTCTCACTCATCAAAGGCTTGACTGCCCTGTCTGAGGCTGTGACAATGAAGCTGTGGCGATTTATATTTATGCTACTAGCACCTGTTGAGTTCTGATATTTCAACTGCTGCTTTACAAATATCTCTCCAGAGCTGGCGTTAATTCTGAAGTACTCTGACTGGGACCGAATGAAATAGAAAATTTTGCCATTGACATCCTCGTCGGGATCTGTGGCAGATACCTGTGTGACCAGGGAGCCCACCTCAGTGAGCTCAGGGTAGTCCAGATAGTAAGAGGGACGACTAAATCTGGGGGCATTATCGTTAATATCCGTTATAAATATGGTGACATCTGTGCTTACGGTCCAGCCAGAGTCATGGGCAGACACTTTGACAATGTATTGATCTGTGTCTTCTCTATTGAGTGGCCTACTTATTGTAATGTCTCCTGTGTTTGGATTAATACTAAATGGAAGGCTGGTATCTGTAATTGAATATCGGCTAATGGCATTTGAACCAACATCCTCGTCTGTGGTGGTGACTCTGGTGACAGTGTAACCCACTGGGGCATTTTCAGCCACTGTAGCACTAAAGATCTTAGAAAACCTAGGAGCATTGTCATTCACATCCAGTACGTTGATTAGAACTTTGACTACTGTGTTTTTGGGTGGCAACCCACGGTCAGTGGCTTTGACTTTCAAAGTGTACTGAGCCACCTTCTCCCGGTCCAGTGGCTTGGTGGTTCGTATTTCACCAGTTGCTCTGTTAATACTGAAGCTGTTCTCCTTGTTGCCATCAATGATGGCATATTCAAGCTGTCCATTTGGCCCACTGTCCAGATCAACAGCAGAGACCATGAGCACCCGCTGAGGTGAAATGTTCTCTAGTATCTCAGCATGGAATGGATCCTTATCAAACACTGGGTGATTGTCATTCACATCCAGCACAGTTATTTCTACTTTCTCATAAGAGGAATAAGGTGGGAAGCCCTGATCTCTGGCCTCAATCCAGAGAACATACTTCTGAATGTGTTCATAATCTAGTGGATGTCTGATTGACAACTCGCCTGATTGCTGATCAATATGAAAGGCGTTATCCAGGTTGCCGCTGGCAATGTAATATGACAACGGTCCACCCCTCATAGAAGATCCAGTCACCGTTGTAACAACGTGGTTGGTCGACTGGCTCTCGGGGAATGTGAATGCATGCTCCTTCAGTTTGATGACAGGAAAGTTTCCTCCAGTAACAAAGCGGACAGTCACTGTGGTCGTATCTGTTTTGGGGTTAGCTCCACCGTCTTTTACTCGAACAGTAAGGGTAACTTCTGAGCTTCCAGTAAGCTTCTCATTGGCAGTGATGGCTCCTCTGATGGGGTCAATCTTGAACTTGTCAGAGTTGCGCCCTATAAGGGAGTAGTGTAGCTGGGCGTTGGAACCTGAGTCCTCGTCAGTGACAGTAACAGCAAAGACCAGGGATCCTAAAGACATAAATGAGTTTTGTGTGACAATTTGTTTTTATTTTAAAGACGCTGACATTGCATAAACTTGCATATAAACGGTTGAGAGTATATAAGTTACAGTGAAAAAAGATTAAAAAAACAAGGAGCTTTAACATTACTGTAAACCATAATCTTAAAGCCTTGTTCCAACATGTAATATGTTCTTCTTAAATCTGTTTAAGACTAAAGTGAAATATTTAAAATAACACTGTGGGTGCCCTGTTGGAACAAAATTCCAGTAACAGTGAGAACAAGTGCAAACCATACAATTTGTTCAACATCTTAAAGGTATGTACTAACCTGCTGCAGTAGAGGCGGGTATATGGGTGACATAGGGGTGGTGGTGGAAGCGAGGAGGGTTATCATTGATGTCAGCCACCGTCACGGACACGGTGGCGGAGCTGGACAAGCCCTGGGGCTGCCCCCCATCTGTTGCCACAACCAGCAGCTGGTAATTGGCCCTGTCTTCTCGATCCAGCAGGGAGCTGGTGATAATCTGTCCTGTAGCTGGGTTGATGGAGAACTGACCGTGTCCTCCAGTCAGGCTATAGCTGTAGGAAAGATGAAGAAGGACAAGTTTCAGTGAAAGTTTTGTGATTTAGATTTTTACTGCACCTGCATATATTAACATGTTTTTGTTATTTTAATTAAGAAATTATAAAACTGTGAAAGTATGAAATAACACATAATCACAATGTCAGTCCATTACTTTCTCATAGTACCTGCCACTCAGTGGCTATAGAGGTACTTCAATTTCTCTATAATGAACACATCTTATGTTACAGTGAGGACATTTCTAATGTGCTGACCGTCAGGTGTTACATGAGTCATTCCTCAGCATAATAATAGTTTCTACATATTGTTTTCTGACCTGCCAGTGAGTAAAGGGACTTGTTCAGTACTGTGTCAATGTGGTCTATAGAGGGCACTGTTTGAGCTTCACAAAAAGCACATTAAATAGAAAAATATGCTCAACAATGGTCACTACATTGTAGTGGCGTGACATTACATCAGTTAGTTAATTGAGGGTCCAGCTTCATATTTTATCAGATTCAGCCACTGTTTTCTGCTTCACTGCTCAGAGAGTCCCTGTGGTTCAGGCTGCCTGTTTCTTGTTCGAGAACTCCAGAATCCTTTATTAGATTTATTTTATTAAATTTAATTTACCTTACTGTGGAACATGGTATTTATAAAAGAAAACAAAACACAAAAAATGCTAAAGCTGTAAAAAAAAATATATCACATACAATACAAATAAACAAAACATAAAATACAAGCATAAATAACGTCACATAACAAAACTCTTCAGGACTGAGGGGCCACAGTCGTTGGCTTTCAAACAAATATCATGTTTCACCCCGTATCTCACAAGTCTCCAGCAGGAACCAGATGTAAATGTAAACTGACACATACATGTACACACCAGTGCATATTTTGAAAAGGCTTCAGAAAAAGCATCCCCCTCCAGAGATGGGACTACAAAATACAGAACGTGTGAAAGCAGAGTGGATACAAAGCTTATTTGGACATAATCAATAACATAAACTGTCTACAGATGCTTGTGGTCTGAACACAATCCAGAGAAAAGTCCAGGTTTTGGACCTACATTTAATAGGCTGTAAGAATCCAAACTAATAACTGAAGGTAATCGGTTCTGGTCTCTATTAAGGGCCTGGAACACCATGGAACCCCTGATGGGCACAACTCATACTGTCATAGACAATTAACATCCTCATTACTGTGTTTTGGGAATCTGGAGCGCGCTGCGGTACCCCTCAATGTGCACCCAGTGGGGTTACTAAGGAGAGAGGAGGGGTCGGACTTGAGTCAGTGTCCGGCTTGAGAGAGACTGGCCAGAAGCTCTTACAAGCTCCGCCATGGATGGGGCTGTGAGCGTGATAAAGCTGTCACCCAGCTTGAGAATAGTAGCCCAAACAATGACTCTGGGTACTGACGAAAACTCTGCTCCTAAAATTCTGTCACACAATTGCATAAAAAACATGGAATTTTATAAAGCTGGTAAAAAGGTGTGAGGAAAGCCAAAACCCAGTTCTGTATGAAAAGGCTTTTCCACACCAGGGAATGAAAGCAGACTTAAACTGACCTGAATACTCACAGTAGTAACTATAACTGTACAGAGCAACATAGATCTCATATGGACTGAAAAAAATGGATTCATTAGTGCTATGCACACAGATTTTATTCTTGCATTAATCTGTACGTAATAAAGTAAAATTTTGATGAAATAGACCATCAGTGAATATTATCCCAGGAAAAAAACTAATCAACCAATGAGGTCATTTCCATAATTTGTTACTGGTGTATGATTTCATTATTTTTCTTTCTTCTTCTGCCAAACTTTATCCCTGTCATTGAAAGTGGAGACAGTAATGAAATCTAAAGAGGAGATTTAAACTCAATCTCAGCAAAATCAGTTAATTTGGCTCTGTCTATTCAGGAAATAATCTTAAATTTAAATTATTTTCAGATTGCATTTTGGTGATTCAGGACATTTGTTGATAATTATTTCACTATGAGACCCCCTTTAAAACTAGACACTTGCAAACAATGCTTTTGGGCCTTGAATGATCAGAATAAAGACAAACATATTTTTATGTATAAATTGGATTAAAGGTGCTTTACAGAGCAGTAAAGGACATTACCAGGTGGGGGTGCCCTGGAGGCCTTGGGGGGTCATGAACCTCAATGTCCCCAGTTTGAGATTAACAGGAAACATTTGCATGTTGTTCCACATTTTTAATTTCATGTATCTAATTAAAGCATCAAGACAAAAACACTAAAAAACACATGTATCCGGGTCAAAAGAAAGAGACAACAAACAGGAATTTTATGTGGAATCAGAGGAGCGCACCTTATAACACCATTGCCACCAACATCTGCATCAGAGCTGTTGACCAATAGCACATCTGTCCCTGTCGGGGCGTCCTCCGTGATGGTGGTGTGGAAGGTGGAGGAGGTGAAAACAGGGACGTTATCGTTCACATCGTCCACCAGAACTGTTACCATTCCTGTTCCGCTCAGAGACGGAGAACCTTGAGATGAAGGGAAAAAAGGAAAAAAATAAACTATGAGTGACAATGGCAGTTTGCTTTTCCTTCAGTGAGTACACTAAAAAGAATAGTCAGGAAAGAAGCAACTCATTACACTTTCCATTCACATAACATACCTGAACATGGAGAAACTTCTAACTGACAGAATTAGGAACTCCCCTTGGACGCATGGTGACTTACTATACATGACATTTCATTTGCAGCAAGATCCATGCTGAACCAATTCATACAACTGTGACGGCTGAGCTACAATATTCCTGCTGCATTTAATTCAAGCAAATTTCCCTGGCCATCAGTTTGGGTTTCCATCGGCTGCTGTACTGCCACATCAACACACATGAGCGCAGAATACATCAAAAGGGCTTAATGTCTCTGAAACCAAATCTTTCAGGCGTCCTTCCTGGGGTCTTGGACACTCATAGATTTAATTTCCACAGTAAGGTATCTATTTTAAGGTGCACGGCACTGAGCGAGTCAGTCTGTGGAATTTGAGCGAGGAAAAGTGCTATTTTCAGCAAAAATCTGACCATTTTTCTCCCAGAGCGGGTGACGAAACGGGGCTTGCTGGGCCCGGGGGATGGATTTAAATCAATAGCAGATGAAAACGAGCCGCAATGCAGAAAAACCTGAAGTGAAAAAAAAATTCAGACATCTGCCTTGCTTGAGTTGGCCTTTTTAATCCTTCCTCAAATGGCACGCTGAACTGCCTGATCTATATTCCAAACATAAACAAGTTCACCCGTGTTACTCAAAGTCACAATATGGGATTTGGGGACATCTTAAAAGGCATGGAGGTATTTTGAGCTGTTAACGATTTGCATATGTTTACATCATTTATAAGGACAGAGAGCACCTGAGGACTGAGCAAAGCTGAAATCTGCAAGCTCTATGAGGTACTTTTCCCACCTCTAACTTGTAGTCATTCCCTCCTGCGGCTCTCTTCAGGAATCTATGTGAATCTGTCAACTATAATACACCCAAATAAAAACATACACAATCCTGAGCTTGTGACTCCTGTGCCTGTGTACTCAGCTGTTGAAAACATCAGATGCTTGAACTTGCGTACCGTGGGGGCCTGGATTAATAAGAGATAATAAAAAACATTTGGATGGTGGCCACCAAAATTCTCTGTTAATGCAGAGCTGTGCAAAATCAAAACATCAGAAATCTGAGAAAAGAGGGTGTTGAGAGGCGGAGGGTCAGAAAAGAAAGCTTGAGGGACGCTATGGCTCTATTGCTCAGCCAGCCTGGATTATCTTATAAATATGATAAAATCAGGGCAACATGCTCATTATATTTTGTTCCAACTCTACTCATTTGAAAGTCAGATGATTTATCTTTACCTCAGCAGCCTCCTGAGATGAAACATGAGTACTGCTGCTAAAATGACTCCATTCTGTCACACCTTCTTACCAAAAGATGGCAAAGTGAAAAAGGAATATGAGCACCATCAAGAACTCTTTTGCTTTTAGACACACTGGGACTTATTGTCTAGGTTCTAGGTTTAGATATGAGGTATTTTAGCCATGCTTCTTGCATGACTCTATGGATGGCTATGTCAGTCAGTCCACCACTTATGTTCAGACTGAAATATCTCAACAATTGTATGATGGATTGCCATGAACCTTGCTACAGATATCAATGATCCCCACAGGATGAAACCTACTGACTTACCAAAAAAAGTATTGGGGTGTACGGGCATAGAGATCAATACTTTACATAAAGTATGTTCCAGCAGGATAGGACACAGGGCAGAAGTGTCCTTGAGAACGAAATCAAATTCCCTACAAGCTCTGCAGCTGCTGTTAAATTGCTGACACTAAACTGTGCCCTCCCTGTGGGCAGAGAAGAGAAATTTCCTTACGAAGATCAACAAATTTCAACATTATTGTGGGGTTTGGAGACCACCGCAGCTTCTTTCAGGAGGTCAGGGGATTCCTCACAAAACAAGATTTGAGATAGTTTACTGCAAAATCATTTCACTGCCTGGCTTTATGATAATAAACACACATTGGACCTTAAGCTTCTCATGTATCCAGGATTTCTGGTCAGAACAGAAGTGGCTAACATGAACATTCAGAATAAACACAGCTGAATTCCAGAAGCCAAATAAATGATACAAAGAGCGGTAACAGTACACAATTTCTATCCCAAAAGAGGCCCAAAACCATACTACACAAATCTTTAGTGACTCATTACCAAAATGAGTCATGTCTTCTGCAGTTATAACTAAGACATTGCAGGCTTTTTTAAGTATCCTGTGTTTATATCCAAATATAGGCAATGTTGAATTTTGAGGTGACTATGTATTTCCACTTTTACAAATATTTGTTATTAACAGAATACTGCTGATAAACAAAATACTCCAAGATCATTGCCGATTTATACAGGAACAACTGATGACAAATTTGGTGTCAAGCGCAAAGAATTAACAGCAAAAAATGTAAATTGTGGTATGCAATTTAGGTATCATTTATTCTATACTGTATCATCATAGGACTGTTATGTAATCAAAGGACCACAACATGTGGCTAAGTGTACAAACAAATGTAGTCAGCAGGATTACTTAATCAACATCATACGTGATTGCGGCTTTCTAATCCGCCTACGCGGAGTCTGTGGTGTCACACGTTCAAGTGTGCAACGTGATTGAATTGACATGAGTCATCGTTCAGGAGGTTGTCATGGCAACAGATTAGAGCAGCTCCTGCTCCTCCTCAGCTGATCCTCTTAATTGAGGAGTGATCCAAGTCAGCAAGGTGTCTGTATCACTTTAAGTTAAATGGTGTGGAGCTGCTGCTGCCAGGCAAAGTGTGTTTGACAGTCAGCAACTCGCTAAGACTGTTGTTGATCAAAGATGTTCTGTGCAGGCAGGAGCTGCTGGGCAGATAAGTGGCTCTGGGAGCTAAGTGGCTTTGTCTATAAAAGCCATTAGCGACTACCAAGAGAGTGAGTGGATGAAGAAAACATTTGGTTTTAAATATCAAGCCAGCTGCTATATTTTTCTGAACTCAAACTGCACAGTGAGCACGGTTGCTGCATTTCAATAGCATTGTTTCCCCACTAAGAACGGAAGCAGGCCAAACTACAAGGCTAGCCCCGTGTATGTGTGTTTGTGTGTGTATGTGCAGTACATTGCTGTCCTTCCAGGCGTGTCACTTTTGCACAGGATGTGATGTCACAACCTGTTTACTGCCTCAGGAGAACGAACAACCTCCTCCACCACCACTTGTGTGACCTCTGACCTGCATTACTTCTGTCACCAAATGCATCAGGGACTCTGAGGCATAGGACACTGTTACTCCAGCTAATCCTTAGTAAGCATTGAGCAAAGACACCCCACCCCCCCTTAGTGAATGCCTAAACTGCACTCAAATACTCCCAAAGCCTCCTGACACTCCTATGTGCGACCGTGAACCTGTGCTGACCCAACCGCCGTCGACAGTTGTGGGTTCAAACGAAGGATTTTTCACATGTTTCTTAGTGTATCACTTCTCACAGCATCATGCACCTCCGTGCAGCCTCAGGACGTGCCTTCTGAGCCTCCTGGGGTTCACTGATATCATATAACCTCTGGCAGCTGTTTCTAAAAACCTGCTGTCCAATGTGTTAATAGTTCAGATCTATCTTGTTACATTGCGTAGGCTGACAGATTTAGTCATCAAGGAACACTATATCATGGCAGGTATGCAAATGTATGTAAATGACAGTTGTTTCAAATGGTTAGGGAGAGACATTCTTCAGATTCATAAGATGGCGGCTACTAAATAACAGGGTCAACATTACAGCTAAGTATGTTGTCTGTTTCCGATTCTTAAATTTCCTCTGAATACCATACCTGCAATAGAAAAACAAACCCAGAATACAGTTTTGTACAAAATAACCTCCATCCCCTTCTTCTTTTTTTGGAGAGAGTGACTCAACAGGAGAGGAATGCTCTCCAAGAGTGCTGAGAAATGCCAGCATCCCCGCCAAACAGTCTTTGCTTGAATCTGGCAAAGCCCAGGGAAGAGTGTCAGGGTCAATGATTTAGACAACTGCAGCCGAGGCGGGTGTCACCTCGTGCACCGTGGCTCAAGCCGAGAAAGGGGGGGAGGGGTTACGAAGAGGAAATATGCCTAAATCTGGCAGCGTACAATCTGGCCCACCGCTATACGACAAATGACATCATTTTGCCACGGAAAGAGAGCTGGTGGAAATTTGCAGCGGGAAGTCAGCTGCCTATCAGCGGCTGCCATGCACTGTGGTTAGAAAAGTATTTTTCCATTGGCAAATCATGTCCCCAGACCCATTATTCTTTTTCTTTCTACAGTAACTTTGTAAATTCTACACTTTTTAAAAGGTTGCATACAAGCGGGACCTGTTTTATTTGCCTGTTGTAGCAGCTGACGCACGCAGGTACAGACTAATCATTAGTCGTTAGACTTCATGGAACAAAGTCACGCAGGTAAATGTTCATCAAATGATAAGATAAACAATTACTTAAAGAGATCACTGAATGAGATACAAAAACATATCCAGGTCACTGCTTATGCATGTTTGACAGGAGAGAACTAGTGTTTGCATTCTTATTACCATTATGTTTAAAGACCTCGAATTTGTAGATCACTTGTTTGCCAAAACAGATAAGGCAATCAAGGCACTACCTCACCTCTATCTAACGTTTTTTTCACAGTGAGCATAATCTTATTTCAGGGGTTAATCAGGGGTCACTTAGGAACGCAAACCACTATTGACCTGACACTCTCCTGGTGATTGTAATCAGCCTCACATCATCTGTTTTTCTGCCACGCCGCAAAGTTATCAACATCATCGTTCAAAACTCAAGATAAACTGTGTATTTATACGAGCAATTTTGCTGTGGCAAGAAAATTGTTTTGGAAGCAAATGCCACTCATCACTTAGAGTCCAGGCAAGTGAGTTTGTCTATATTTGATCCAAATTCATCTTGGTTATTATTGCACACGAGGAAATTGGGTTTT